AACTGAACTAGAAGTGACTAACTGAACTAGTATAAAATAATTATAATATAGGAGAAGTAATAAACTACACTCACCGGCAGCAATACCTGCTAAAAGCCTGGCCACACCCATTGCATATTTACCGTAACCGTTGAAATTGTGCATAATTATGTACATCGCATTTGATATAAGCATTAGCACCATTGAGCACATTGAAGGAATCCGTATACAGCCCAACTGAAATTATCGATTGATATTGATCGGTGATGTGCGCATGTGTGTACGTCACTCTCCATCTCTGCCCTTTATTGGGACAGCGAGGCGTCAGAGACGCAGAATGAACCTGCATGTCTTGTCGCACCTTGGTTATGTGTGCCAGTTGTGCTTTCTACTGAAGGGATTAATCACGATGGTTGGTGGGCGGTGCGGTTTCGATGAAGGCACTGAAATACTACACCTTTCAGCGCGAGGGGGGAGGAGAGTGTTACCGCCTCGCCCCCACACCAATGACGCTCATTGACGTCATCAAAATCGCACCGCCCTCCCGAAATCGTGGCCACTGCCTTTAAATTCATTGCAAATGTGCTTAGTTTGATCTGGTGTTGCTGTTGTAAGTGTCCCTGTCTAATATGTGTAATTATTATAAATATAATATATATAAACGTCTTAAACATGATATAAATATAAATTAACTAATTCAAATAATAATGTAAATAGTAATAGTAATGTAAATAATAACAATATAAATATGATCATGATATTTTTTCGCTAGGCTCGCCCGCTGACCAGAGACGCAGAGTAATTCTATGTGTCTAACCTTATTGGACCAATATCCAAAAAACGGAGCAGATCCAGCTATGCCTATGCTATACACGGCGCTGATCACCGCATAGTCGTGCATGGTGGCAGTTTCGTCGACCTAAAAATCCATTTATTGATTTTTCGTCATCAAAATGGCTACCGTAATCACTGACCTCTTGTAAAAATGGCCACAATGACGCGAAATAGACAGTGAATTGTATTCGAGTGAGCAGAATGATGATCATCATCAATCGTATCGATTTCCAATCGGTTTGTCGTGACGTCACCGAATCGATTGTTGAATCGGCTGATTCGGTTTCCGATGATGATTCCTCTTTATGTTTTGGGATTTCGAAGCTGAACAATTTGGGTTATCAGATGACGTCATTTCGGGGCACAAATTCGGTCTAATTGGCGTATATAAGTAAATAATTGTTTTGTGCTTTAGATATTGAGACGTGGTTTCCCTTATCGTAACCCTGATGCGTTGCTTAAGTTCCTTAGAGAAGGCAAGGGTAGAGTTCTCTACCTGAAGTTAGTGAGGCATAACTCAAGGATTGGCCGTGGGTGTGAACATTTTGAAATGGCCAAAGAAGCTCAAATTGCGTGGACTGTTTATTCCTAGTGTAGAATTTGCGCAATTCCCAAGTACTGAAGAACTGGCGAATTCGATATCGCAGTTTCTCCACTATGATATACCAGGGACTGTGCCTTTAGGTTCGCTCTGCGGCCATACGAATTTCCATTGCTCGTGGATAGAGCGTGCAGTACTTTGCAAGAAAAGCCCGCAACTGTATGAACTGGCGACTATTGCTTTTAGAAAAACCGGTTCAGGGACATGCACCCGTTTGAAGGTTCTAATACCATTTTGTCGATAGTTTAGGTTTGAAAAAGGGTAACTCCTCACCTGGGACGTCCCTTGATGATACACGGGCTGTTGGGTAAATCGAATGAAAATACTGAACAAGGAGTACATGGCGACGGTTCTGGGATGTAACTCGGCGACGGCAAGCGCAGCCGTTGCGGTCGTTCCCCTCGCCGCAGAAGCCGTGAGCGCTCGGTTCGGGAGCTGGAATTGAATAGAATGAGCTTTTCTAGAGCGCACATTGGAACTTGACAAATCGCTCACTTTGATGTTGGTAATGAGGTGTGGGAGGTAGCGGTTGGTATTTCTTCCTCCATTGTGAGAATGAATCTGGAATATAGTTGAGGATTTTTGGATTAATATTCAGTACTACGGATTCAGTACGCCGAGATAAACGAAATGCGAAGAACTGCAAATTGATTATGAGTTGTAGAAGACTAGGTATAAGTGTAGATGCACATAACGTAGCTAGAATCGGCCAGGAACTGAGGAGTGCTCCAATATGGCCTAGCACATCAAATTCAGTCACTGTTTCGGTGCCCCAAGGAACCAGGCTTCTCCTAGAAAAACCAGGCTTTCCAAGGAAAAGCAGGAATTACTTCGGGGGAAACGTCCCTTCAAATAGCCGCCGCCGTGCCCTCCGTGTCCGTAGGGCACTGAAGCAGTGATCGGAAGGTCGTTCAAATTGTGTTTTTAAGCAGGCCAGCCAAGTTCCGTAAATCTGCATTCCAATGTCGCAGCGGCACTAAGCAGTGCCGAAGGTCATTCAAATTGGCTTTCTAAGCAGCCAACAAGTTCCGTAAATCTGCCATTCCGCTACTCGAGGCCGCCGCTGGAGCGATGAAGATGCCCATTTACGCGTGGCGTAGGCTCAGCAGCAATCAAAATTCTATGCGAACAGATGAATCGAATGCATGGCGCAATCAGACACAGTCCTCTAAATTCTTCACCATATTGGCTTGAACATCACTCAAAAATGGGCGGGTGACTTGGAAGATGCCCAATAACGTGAGTGCAGCCATCCAGTGACCCTCATGGATCATTGCATTCAGAGCTTTTCCTTTGAAAGCTCGCACAGAATTGTCGTTTTGATCGGGGAGGTGCCACGATCTTATGAATAATTAATATCGGAAAAGGCTTGTCTTTGTTTTTTCGTCTTTTTGTTTCGAAGTGTGAAAGGTAAGGAAACATTTGGCTTTTCTAATGTCACTTGGTTCTGTACAATGGACCTACGGCAAGCAATGATCCATTTAACGTCCGGAGAGGGATGCTGACTCCGACTCGCTCGATCAGGCTCAGACCATGGCATGTTTCAGCGCATTGCGCATACCTCGCTCACCCTTGCAGTGGTTTATAAAAGATGAACATTTAGAACTCCGAAGGTCAAAATCAATACCCAACTAAAAATGGTTTGGAAGGAATTCTATCCAAATATCAATTTATATTAGGTCGGTCCATAAGTCTTGCAACAAATTACATTTAATGCTATAGAATTTTAGGGAGAACTCCTGAAAATCCGCAACATATTTCCTGACGTAGCATCAACCTTTGCAATTTCAGCCAACGGTCCAGCTCGTTGTCTGCTTACTTATTATGGATATTACACCGATTTCGCGAGAGGGCTCTCGGTGCCCTTAATTTTTACGAGTACTGCTTTTAATGTTCCGCAAGTCATGCTAGACCAAGGATTGGCCAGAAGGCGAGGGCAAGCTCTCTCAAACCACAGTGCAACGGCGCTTCACTCTGCTCAGCGTTGACTTTTTTATTTGAAAATAACCCACACTCCAACCACCCTGTGACTGACAATCACGATGCTATATCTGACGGCGTTGAAAAGGGATCTGGATAGAGTATCGATCATTTGCTAGAGCGATTCCGATGCGACAAGGAGACAGCACTGTGGCATCTCCAAAGACTTGTGAAGATCCGAAAATGTAGAGTTTGGTCCCCACGTGCCTTGAGCCCGATTCAGCTCCAAACACGATCTGACATCGTCATGTTCAAGTCGACTTACTATGATTACACGAATGACCATCCATCACATTTGCCGAAGATGAGGAGTGGGTTGCTAACAAATGAACAAGCGATGGTAGTCCAGCTCAAACGCTTCGGGAGATCTTATTGCTTAAGTTCAACCTCGTCCAAGTAGGGCCTTCTCGGATTTTTGGTGGAACACGAGAGGAGTTAAGCTCTGGAAACCCCTCCGTGTAGATGTCGCAGTCAACGCGAAAGTCAACTATCCACAGCTCGAATGCAACGCTTTTAATACGAAAGAAAAACAAGGCAAAGTTTGCTTTTGTATGACACCGTTGAAAAACCTCTTGCTAAGAAAATTCAGGAAAATTTGAGACTCTGGGACGGAGAGTTCTTCTGTATCCACGTTATAGCCCTGACCTCGTGGCAAATAATGCCCTTCTGCTCCCCTCTCCAAACCATCTCCTAGAGAAGAAAGCTCATCCTAACTATGATGATGTCAAAATCGACATCTGATCTTTCTTCGATCAGAATTCAGTAGAGTCCTACAAGGGAGGCATCGAGCAGCTACTAGTGTGTTGGCAATAGGTTGTAGATATTGATGGAGGGTAGCATGCCGGATGAATGGAACAAAAAGATAATGAAAATATTAAATTCAAAATTCGGCCAGTTTGTTGCCAGGACTTATGGACCGACCTATATTTTTCGTTAGGATCATGCTGTTCACGAGCTTTTTTTCAATCTGAAGTCCAAGAATACTTATAAGAATTCAAAATGCATTGCAAAAGTCTCAAAAGAATTCAAAAGATTCGATTATCAACATATTTGTGTTCATTCAGCACAAGGACGCAAGAACAACATTGTTCGCCATAAATAAATAGATAACCGCTAGCAGTAAAAAAAATCACTACAAAAAACAGGGCTTTGAAGTACTGGGATTCAGGTGCATACCTCATCGATTCTGTGTGCTCTTCTCGAAGTGAGTACAAATATGGAAAAATGGAACTCCGGTAGAAAAACAAACGAGGGAAACTGTCTTCCTTTAACAGCAGCGAAGGGGAAGGGCGTGCTGGACGAGTTTTCCGGTCATGCGGACCACGCCGACCAGGTCAAAGGAACAAACTAAGCTTGAACCGAACAACACGACGAAACGTAGGAGCAGTGCGTTGCTAGGGCCGCCGGTAGAAGAGACTGCCCAATGTCTCGTTTGCGGACTATAGAAACTTGTGGCTCACTTCCTGTGCACTTTCTAGCCGCGAAAGTGACACGCCTTCACCTTCATTGAAGCTCTACCCTCGTCATTGAAGGGGTTCACCCGTGTCATTTCTACGGTTTGTTACGCTTTCGATGCTTTTTTAGGCGCATTTGAGCAGTAAGTCTTATTTTTCCATAAGAAAACGTGCTGAGAACGTGGAATAAAGAAATTGCAACTTTTTGGAAAGTGGGATCGATATGGTTGCGGTATGAACGGGGCCAATCTCGATAATGTTGGAGCCTAAGACGATTTTGACTAAGTATGGAACTTATTGCCAGAACATTGATTTCCGGAATAGATTACGTATTAATTTCGTCTCGAAACGCCCACTCAATAGGAAGACATGTTGTTCAGTTCGAATCTTGCCTATTCATTTCCCAATGGGAGACGGTCAATTCAATCGTCGGCTAATGAGGTCACGCCGCTCACGCGGCGAGAATCGTCGCGCGCGGCAGTTGGTGCGGCGATTTCTGTGTGGACCTTTTCTTAACCATCCATGTCCATAAGTTGGCTAGGTGACTGATAAGATCAGAGTGCTAGACATCAGTAAGCCAGCAAGCGTCATCTCAAGATCTCCGCAGTGATTTAAGTCTCACAGTGCAGGTTGTACCATGTAAAGGTTGTCCTTTTGAATTTAATTTGACTTCTTTATTAATCAACTGCCTGAATTTCTATCAGGGAGTGATAATCTGGTTCAATCAGAAAGAATATTCACGTTCCAAGACACAGAGGGACGGTGAGGAAGGCGCTAACATAAGCATGATAGGATAAGTTTGTAATAATGGCAAGGGAAAAAGAAACTGCATTTCAAGGGTTAGGTGGATTCCTATTTCCATGTTTCATGACTGAAACTTCATCTAATCTTACATTCCCCAATGTTTGGATGCTGAGTTCTTTGCAAATTCGCCGCGATATTGCTGGCTGCGGCGGCCTGGCGCGGCGACCTACTTACTGCCACGATTGAATAGTCACGCACCCATTCCAATACAAATAGCGGAATTATTGGCGACCATCAATGCGAGCTCACCTAGAGCGAAGTAGCTCTTGATGTTTCATCAGAATGCAGCCTCCTTAAAACGTGGGAGACGCGCAACGTCTTACATATTACGGCCGTTCCGACTTGCAATAGATTTGAGAATTCTTATCAAGGAATTTAGTACGAGCCAAAACCTATGAAACTCAGAGAAAGAAATGGGAATGTAACATAAGTAAATGTTAAAGGAAGAAAAACAAAATGAAAAAACTGGAACTTTTCTCAATCTGGACATAAGGCTCCATACGGGTAACAGACTGCAGCCCACATATGGGCTGCATGGGCTCCAAGGTGTTAATTTGAGGGGAGTGAGAGGCGAGGAAGTGGAAAAGAAGTCCGTGCTCGAATATTGGATGAGCTGCATGCAAAGAAATGCAGCTTGTCATCACAAAAAGCTTGCGGAGGATAGACAATTTCGTGAAGAGCTGTTCAATAATCGAATTCTATAAAGCTAACTGCCAAAACAGTTAGAATATGAGGGCAAGTGGATCACCGTCACTTCATAATTGTTTCTCTGCTGATAAAGAAAATTCAAGAGCCTCCAAAATGTCCTCTGCTGAACAGCGCGGTGTACTTGCTAAAGATGGTAAGTGATTAACAAACCCGCCTGGAGAACGTGAGCCTCACCATTATGAACACTTGTTACCAGTCATTTTTGTATACCTAGTCTCATTTCCAGCACTTCCTTGCTGGCCTCTGTGGAATCGTATGCATGGAATCCTAGAGCGATTGATCAATGAGCGGATGTTTATCATTTTCAGTGGGGCGATATTTGAGCAACGGTTCCTGCTCTTTGCCAGTAGCACAGATGGGCTTCCCCTTTTTTAGGTTTTGTTATCTCGAATTGTAGATAGTTTAGGATGACCACAGACACTAGACATACTATACGTTAAAAAGAAACATATTCCCTGGATGGAACATTCGAAGAAAATGATCTTCCCTGCCGGACTGTGCACATTAAGCCTCTATGGGGGTCCTAATTCTTAGCCCATTTCAGATCGCAGACCTCTACAACAACGGGTAGCCCTAACAACATCTGCCTATGTGGATCTTCGTTATTTCTGAGCAAACAAGCATCCTCATCTTTGCCGCGCCTACTGCACAGGCCTGAATCACCGGTACGTTGTATTGTCTTACATCTGTTCGAGCTATAGTTACTGTTTCATTCAGCTGAAAATTCTAGTTTCTCTCACTTTGAGCACCGGTGAGTCATGCTGAAATGAAAATGAAGAAAGAAGTGGTTTAATTAAAAGAAACAAAGAAGCTAGAAAATAGTGAAGAAGGCTGTTTCTATAGAATAGGCAACAAACAAGTAAACAGCAATCATAAATAGTGCGTCAAAGACCAAGCTAGAAAAAGAATGGAGACGGTTTTGGTTCACAATTTCAAAAAACACCCCCAAGTGCACCGTCAAATTGATCAGGGATAAGACCACATGTTCTCTTCCTTGTTAGGTTTTTTATAAGCATGATACAATACATTTAAAATTGACCTGCACACTCGCTTTGAACGGATTTCACAAAGATCACTAGGGTTTAAATCCTGAACGCAGAGTCACTCGATTTTTTTTTATTTTTTTATTGATTTTATTTTTATTCATCAAATTAATCAGATCGAAATACCAAATGAAATAATATCGCATTTATTATCATATGGGATCACCAACATATGAGATTGGGAAATAAAAGAAATAAATATTTTTCTACAGCAGATTCAACACTTCCAAGCTTAGCAAAATGGTGACCTGTGCAGCTATAGTGCTCGGAAAATGAATTATTGAGATGAATATATTGTCTTAATATTATTCTTATTACTACTTATTATTGGTTATAAAACACGACCAATACACAAAACATTACATTACATAGCAAATTCCGATAATGCATGTGAAAAATTAAAAGACCAAAAGTCTACCATTTGCAAGAGCCTAAAGGGTAATGTCATTAGGGGTAATGGGAAGGTACCAAGACGTTGAAGGCAGGACACTCGGTGGTGAAGAGCAGGGTCCCGCAGGAGATGATATTACAAGATATGGCTTCATTTATATAACATTAATTTCAATTGGTATCATTTAAGTTTAATATGTATTGGCATCTTACCAAATATGTGCTCATTCATATAACATAATTTTATGCGTTATTCAACTTCGTAGTGATATACATGCTGACTCATGTTTTGCACACATAACTTTGCTGATTTTACTTTTATTATTTATATTATATTCTGTCAGACTAAAATCCTTATAGCTAGGCCCAGAACCAATCTTAGAGCCAAAAGTTTTGCATTTCAGAGCTGCTAGCTCAATAAAAAATATATACAAATTAAATATAAATGTAAATAAATAAATATAAATATAAGAAAAAAATATTGCTCCCAATACACTGAGAAGTTCAAAAGAATTTCTACTAAATTTCTGTGCCACATAATACCCTAGTTATTGAGATTCACCTGCAATCCCATCTCCATAATTATACTGGCTCTTTATTTTTCTCACTTTGTGTTGTATTTCTTTTTACTGCTTGCCTTATGCCACGTAATAAATAAATAAATGAGTAATAAATAATAAAAAATAATTGAATTTCACTCTTCTTTGCGGTGCATCCCAGCAGCGGAATTGGTCAACGACGAAAGTTCTATTCTTCACCCTTTAATCACCTTAGCATGAAATACGTCGAACATGTCGTAGATGATTTTTAATCAAACATTCGAATAAATGTTCGAGCAGGACAAGGTACGTAGTGGTCTCAATCGACGGAATATCTTCATGGGAGTTTCGCGCTACTGTTAATAGCCCATCTGAGAGACACTTGCATTCCTTCAGCGTTCTCGATTACAACATAGTTTGGGTTCGATGAGTCATTGAAGGGAAAGACAGCCATGACGCGAACTAATTTCCTGATCAGTGACATGGGTGATAATGACGAATTAAGTGACTTTTGTGCTCTTCAAACTTCACTTTTGAGCCCTTTATTTGCAGGCCTGAGTTTTATGCGTCAAGCTTCAGCCAATCTGAAACTAACATAGATCACCTCACCGAGTAACGGCATAACAATGCTGCCAGTTTCCGCCTAATCCATGACATTTTTTCCTGTCTACATCTATAATCTTGGACTAACATATTGGCCAATATCAGATTTCTCAGATATTCAAAAAATTTATTTTTAGTTAATTATTTATTTAAAGAAAGAATCAAGAAATCATTGATGGGTTGATTCCACTCAAATGTGAAAGTAGGGATGAGAGGTGGACCGCCAGTGGAGAAAAAAGGAAAGAAAATCCTGAAATACACAGGAAATACGAGCATTTTGCTCATGCTGTGGAGAAGTTCAAAAGACAGGCAGGGAGATGAGAGATAATGTGAGCGCGGAGAGCGGTAGAGAAGTCCGAGAAGAGAGAGCATAGCAGATCAACGTGGCGACGCAGACAAGATATCGAACGGTGGGCGGACCATGTTAAGTTTGGTGGAGTCTGTTAGAAGTCCATGGCGCCTAGGGTCCTAGTGACGCGTTTCGATGTAGAAAGGTGGCGCTACCTTTGCACTTGCGTACCCAGCACTTCTAGCCATGGTAAGGGCTTCTTAGGTGGGTCTGAGCCCGAACTTTGCCTTTAATAATTCAAAAGAAGCATTATGTATTTGCAGCGGTTTATGAAACAGTACGGCATATCCGGAGTAATTTAGTAATTGAAATCGAGTGAAACATTGATTACTGATCGGTTTCTTATCTAATGTACTCAGGGTTCTATTTTCTCTGCGCCTGTCGATCTTGTTCGGGATGATAAAAACAACAAAGAAAACATTAGCCGGACCGATAAGTGTAATAGTTTTATAGCCGCGACAAAGAACCCATAAAATAATTCTACGGTTAGGAAAGCAGTCCAGAACGTGGCGCACTCCCAAAAACCACTAAAGAACCTCCATCCTCGAAGTCTCTGGATTCGGCCAACACTGAGGATCGACTCTGTAACCCTTGAGCTTCTTCGGTATCGTTTGATCTCTACCATTGAGGAGACTGAAGCAATAGCAGAAGAAATAGCAAAACTTTCTGCAAACTGAAGATCCGACAACCGCTACGAGTTGTTGCAGGACCAAGGAACCCCTACGAATGCTCTCATAGTTTTCAATGTAAGTAGAGAGCGTAGGAGTTTGTCTACTTCGCCTATGGGATGGTTTTAAAGAAAGTAAAGCGGCGAGTATGGAAACCACTTGAAGAAGAGGAAAATTGCCGATTGCCAAGACGGGCTTAGAAGAATCCGAAGAGGATTTTTCTAAGCTCCACCTTAGCCATCGGCTCAGAATTCAGTGCTTCACAGCTGACTGTTCGAAGGATCATCAGAAATAAGCTGAACCTGTGCATACTCTGTCATGCCTCAGGATTTATTAGAAGCTTTATATTTCTGCCAAAAATTTCGAAAAAAAAATTAAATGGACCGACTTCAGGAGACTATATTCTTCAACATGAACCTTGCGGACTCTTTGGGGTTTTGTTGATTGAGGAAGATAGAGAAGAATGGAGGATCGAAACAGAAAGCAGATTCCAAGGTGAAGAACTGTTAAAGATGGCTCCCATCTTAGAATTGCACAAATAGCACTGAATCAACTACTATACAACATTGGAGGGGGTGTTCAGTAATGCGGCAGCCCAGAACTCCTGTCTTGAATACGACTTATACATGACGAAGAGATTAAAGGATGAACACAGAGAGATCTCGCTAGATGAATCTCGCCTGATTGTTGAACACTGCCAAGATCAGGAGAAATCGGCCGTTCCATGGAATTGACTGTCGGTCAGCCTCTCTCGTCACACTGTGGAGGTCGGCACGGACGATTCCATGTCGTTGATCTGTTGTCGCCCTCGCAAGAACAGGTTCGGACCCCCATACTACTGATTGATGACCGTATCGTCAATAACTATCGGGTGATTCGGAGTGAAAGTTGTGAAATCTTGAGAGATTAAATTGATTCCATGTCCATCTGGGTATTGGACACAAGAGGGCACATGGTGCCTTCAGTTTCTAACGATTTGAAAGGGCTGCCTTAGTCAGCGTGTATTCTGCAATACCTTACCCGTGCTCGGAGGAAAATGAGAAAGCCAAAAGGGCTTGTTCATGACAGTCTTTTCCATTGTCGCGCCGTGCATTCGATCCAAAATCCGTACTGAATTTTCTGTCAACCAGGTGCGCGTCTGGCTAGGTTTAAGGTGCGATTTGTGACTTTCTTGACAAGACCAGCACAAAACGTGTGAAATCGGTTGCGAAGGAAGGTTTGACTTCACGTGTTTGGGATTTAACTGGAAATCGCTCAACACTTACGCAATCTTGTTCGACTTCGAGGAACAATTAATCTACGTTAACAGGATGGGCCGAAGTGGGTTGATTGCGAGAGGTGCCAACGGCTGGAAGCTAAAATCCCGGATCAAATCGAGCTCAGACTTAAGAAAGCTTCCCATCCCTCCATACTTATTGGGAAGGTAACACCTGAGTTGTACATCGGCTGGCTCGTAGCTCATTGTTAGGCCAGGCCACGTTTCAAACGTCGCTAATGATTGGCTGAACGGAGCTAAAGTGCATGCGGCGGCAGCTCAAAGGGTTGATCATGACACTTATGTATATTGCTAGTCGCTGTTATTATACTGATACATATATAGACAGAAGTTAATGGAGTCGAACATAATTATGGGGCCTTGGTTTCCGAGAAAAAAACTGACACTATGGTGTCAAAAAAAAAAGAAGAGATGGGAAGAAATATGGGTTCCAAAGGGTGTTACAATCAGTCCAATAGTAGCACTTAGAACTAATTTGTTCATGAAAGCCGTTACAGTAACGGAAATTCCCAGGTCGATAGGGTGGAGGCGATGGCGGCGGAAGTGCGCGACTGGTTTTCAGCGGTCTATTTTTAGAAACTGCAGCGTCCAACACAACTACCGTCTCGGCGCCGGAAGTGGTCGCATACGTTGAACTCTGTGGGACGGGCTAGCGAGTGTGTAAGGAATAATATATAAGGAATGATTCACCCCAAAATCCCTTGTGGCCGGGATTTTTGATGCATTGAAATTCGTCACGCCATTAACTGTGGGAGAGTGGGTAAACCCTTTGATAGAAAGATTGGCTCAAAGCCGCTATGACGAATTATCGGAGCGGAAAATATCTCGATTTTCAAAGTTTGATGAGAGAAGGAGTCTTTCAAGCTACCGACTCATATAATGGCTTCTTTAGCAAGTGTGAGGGCATATTTGTTGCTGGTACCACAAGCATGATGCCGGCGTTACACCGCACATCGGCATGGGCACGGCTTCAAACTGACTTCGGACTCAGTGCCGCAGTGCCGGTAAATATTTTGAGTGTTGCCGGTACTAAACTCATGTGGAGTAATAGAACACCAGCATACACACCGACTGCAAAGTGTCAAATTTGCCTCAAATAAAGTCAAATGTAATGGAAGAGAGCAAAAAAACTGCAGGAAACTCAAAATAGCAATTTTAGCGCGCTGATCGTACGGGCTGAGTTTGGGGTACATGACAGGAGGCCCGTCACGAGGCGAGAAGGCAGAGATGCAGGCGGGTCAGCGGACGAGTCAGCGAGCTGCAGTGATTTCGCGTTAAGTTGAATAGAGTGTACTATAGTACGTTCCACATTGCACGCGTTGCGACTCGTCCGCCGACCCATCTGCGTCGCTGCCTTCTCGCCTCGCAAAAGGCTTCCTATCGGGTACTCCTGGGTTTGCTCCACCCCTACGGATAGCAGTGCTAAGCCTAATTCACTTTTCCATGATCAGTTGGTTCCCACCCCTTCTGCGGGTAGTTAGTACTCTCCGTATTATGGTGAACTTCTCGTCCCTATTGTGCTCACCTTCTTATCTGTATGCCACGCCACGCGAATCTGAATTAAAGGCAAACTCCGGAATTAAACTGGTGCTAAGAGCGCTTCGCAGTGATAGCTTAGCTGCGGAGCGACCTGAAAGTGGAGAGGAAAGCAAGAGAATCTTTGGGAACGCTGAAATTAAGGCCTTAACCTTCAATAAGGTCGGATGTGGTACGATGGCGAGACAGGGCGATCAAAGAGGTCAAAACACGCGAGAGAGAACGTCGTTTGAGAGAGCACGCTGATCTCTACATCAATGCACGCTGATCTCACCACATCTCGCGGTGGGTGGGAAGCGTTCGATGGTTGGAGGCCCGTAAGGATTAGCGCCCTAACCGCGCAATTTTCGCGACCAAGTTGAAGTGATCTAGGTAGGTACGGGTCTTACAATTTCCCTCGCGGTATCCTTCCCTACTAGTCGGGCTAATCCCGGGGTTTGCCTTTAAACGGTGCTAGACACGAGTACCGCAAGTATTCATTACAAGTATACGGAATAAGAATCAGCCATGCACTCGTCACTCGTTGTATTGTTGGGATGCCTGAGGGGAAATCCAGGCTTGCTGGAGCTTCAGACGGGGATCATATTGTGTCGAGTGGTTTTTATTGCCTAGAGGACAATCGGGGACGGTCCTTCTTCGATCGAGCAGTAGAACGATAAACCGCCTAGTTCTTATTCTGATCGATTAATGCTAGCGGGATGTCTCATCCTTCCTTTTCCTCATCCTTTGCTTGGCAGACTGGACGCGATCGCTCTTAGGATTTCACTATTCACTCCGTCGAGCCTCTTTTATGCCGTAAGAGATGACGGCAATGAGAGGACGATGATGGGCTTGGAATACAAAAATCGCCTGTAAACTGGATAAGAACAAACTAAAGAAGAAAAATACTTGGGTCTCATCCCAGTAAGCCGCCAAAACATGCAAGTGGTGACCCTTGCTGGCTGTAAAAATACCAAATTTTGCACAGGGACGCGGACTTTCCCGGCGGTGCGTGAACCAATTCTTCTCAAATCAGCACTCACCCCCGAGCTTCAAACTCCAAACGAAGCAAAAAGTGATCACTCTTCATTAGTATCACACCAAACTGTAGCACTACATTCCCACCACACAAACCACTGGCCCCCCCCCGCTTACTTAGGAATGAGTCTCCGAAAATATGGATTAAATTGCAAACATACCACTGTAAAAATAAAACTGCCACTGACTCAATTTGATCACCAGAGCTGCAAGAACTTTCAACATTCGTCGAGACCCTGTCACACACACTTTCCACTCTTTCGTTACAAACTTCATTGTTAATTCACGTAGATAACTTCGTATCCACGTGTCGTTTTGGTTGCCAACATAAAGTCACAGAATGTCCATCCCATTCTACGACAAAAAAAAAAAACCAACCCCGAACATATTATCAAAGATTACCATCGAAAAACTCCAATTCAAAACATGCGCACACAACCAGCCGCAAAAGAATTAATTATAGCTTCCAGTACAGCAAAATACCGAGCTAGCCTGCCAAACTCCAAACAAAAACAACTATATGCAGCTAAGTATATGTGCACAATCAAGGAGAAAAAAAAGATGAGTGAACTCAGTGCCTGATAATAATCACCAAGACTTTTGTTACAAGCCACAAAAGTCGAACCAAAAGCAACAACGCCAGCCAATATCTTCAAGAACAGACCGCGACATGACAAACTACGTAATTGTACTACACTCTAAGGAACGCACGCTCTCTCCATAATCCGAGTGAGCAGCCCAAAGTGCTCGCTCCGAAGGGGAGCGAGAAACAACCTAGCTCCAGGAAACGAAGAGACGCGTCTGGAAGACGTAAATCGTCAAACTAACCACAGAACACCCAATGCGTAATTGAGACAGCAGAGTGGGCCGTGGTTGACCTCCAATGAATGCAAGAGAGCAAAAATACCGCAGAAGCCGTTGACAATAAGGAAGTCACACCATTGAAGCTAACCGCAGCGAATCTAGCACCCTTTCATCACCACTAGGGTGGTACAGATGTTCGGCAGGTAAAAAATCAATATAAACAAAAACAAATAGCAATCCAAAGTTTTGAGGTTTGAATTTCTCCACATCGGAACGAAAAATTTTATGAGACTAGACAATGCCCGGATGGTAAGACCCAAACTTTCGGAACAACGAACGTGACTAAAAAAGGAACATTCCCCCTCTAGACAAACAACAAATTCATCTGCACCAAAAAAAACTTCAAACGACCCACACATTCGCACGACTAAACCCATAAAAAGTAAATTAGTTGAACGAAACTAGAGAATTCATGGTGCTAGAAGATAATCCGCAAAATAAGATTAGCATCCTACTAGCCAAATGGGAAGGAAACAAACGACAAAAGAAATAAACTATAAGAACTCGACTAGAAATAGCTGGATCCAGAACATCACTGAAGTATGAAAGCTAGAGAATTTATGCACCACCCGACCTAACTAACAGATGTCCCATTGGTTACCTAAACAACTCTTCTCTGATCGCCATCCAGATAGGAAGCCAGAAATAAGCAATATCTGAGATATCAGCAAAAGACAATAGTAGTGGAAGAATTCACCTAACAGTGAGGAGCGAGAGAAAGCTTCTACACATCGGCCTATCCATCGAATACGGAGACATTTGTAGATTTCAAAGACTAGTTGCACACCACTAGAAAGTATTTTTTTCTCTCTCTGAATATATAAGTAAGAGCAAAATGGTTCCCCCTGAACCCAATCGCTCACTTTCATTTTCATACGCTACATATCCTGCGCAAGTGAGCCCTCAAATCACATTGAACCATTGCTCGAATTCAATCTTGGGGAAGCGATTATGATAAAAAGGGAGTGCATTAGGGAAGAATACGCGTCAAGGAAGGGAGTTTACTTGGCCATTGCCCAAGAATGCAAAAGAGGGATGTGGCGCACCCCACGACGAAAGAGTGCACTGCGTCTAAGGGCAGGACTCTCAAAGAAAGCCACTCCGCCCAAAAGTGGGTGATCCAAAGGATCCGCCCACCATATTAGCGCATGATTTATTTGGACGAGCTGTGCCTTGCCAGCGTGAAACCAAGCAGAAAGCACATGTGGAGTAACCAGACCCCGACCCCCCGGAACATGATTTGGGCGTCGTAACCAAAAAGCCCACGAACTCAGAAGGCGGAAGTGGTCGTAGTGACAAGTGGCCGCCGCAACACGCCCCACGCGCCAGCGGTCAGGGGTCCAAACACATCCTGGGTCGGTAACCTCAGCACCGGCCAACCAAACGCCTGTCCATACCCTCCGGGGTCGGTTAATTGGTACCAGACTGGCTGGCCCCCGCAAGTCATTGTATAGGCCACATCGCATTCAAAAGCCACTGCGAATGTACAAATGGAAGTAGAATGCGTGCCGCATCCCAAAAAGGGATTGATCAACGGCAAATGCTTTATCCTTTTTATCCTTTTCTACCTTACCACGAAACCGCAAACTCGTAGTGATTAAACCGTCCATACGTCCGGTGTCTGCAGCTCTTTCGTCCGTAAAGCCCGAAAATCAGCGTACCCAAAAGGGCCGTCGTGTCTTTGAACAAGCATGTCTTTCTGTTTTTTTTTTTTCGCCAACGACGCTCCACTGAGCATCCCGTAACCCCCCCCCAAGCCCTTCAGAATGTACCGCAATCGCTGCCATCAAGCAAAAGATCGAGAGATCGAGCACCAGGTAGTCGACACCAGAGCGGCTCGGTTTCGGTCTTTGACCCTTTATCTTTTTTTAGTGAGAAGGTGTGTAAATACCTTCACCTGAAGATCGACCCTGTGGCAACCTGAGGGCGGTCATGTGTACTGCACAACACAACAATGACAACATTCATTTATCAGTGTACGTTCGATCCGTGTGTTCGCCAATTTATTATATGCAATATCTGGCGTGTGTCTACAGAAAACAAGCATATCATATAATTTGGAAGCACTATAACAATAGAGAGAACACGATGGATGACGGGTCGAGCTCTTCGGCCTTCACGGTCATGATCGACTGATCGAGAACGACCGATTGATGGTGGCTTACGGGGCACGCGCTTGTAACGAGTGACGGACTGACTGCGTTTGATGAGATCGATCAACAAGGAGGAGGAGGAGATCAAAGAAATTCGAGAGATATGGATACAGTATTTTGAAATGCAATCAATAAATAAAGTCATGTGTAAGAGTGCTCCTGGTGACTATAACAGATCACGGGACGAGTGGGCGGGGCGATCGGTGAACGAGGCGAGGCTGGTGGTGTGCGAGTGATGGTGGGGGCGGGGCTCCACATTCTGCAAACTAGCCGAAAAATCCGCCTGATATTGGCATTGGCGATCGAATAAATCGGTCGGATCGTTTGCCATATAGCCCGCCTGAGAACGGCATCGCCACCCGCTTACCGTAGAGACCTGAAATGTTAAATGTTTACCAATCAGTAGTGCTTTGTGACGAAAAGCGTTTTATTTTTGCTATAAACAAGCTTTCGGGTACCTACTAATCTGTAATACCGTCGTCGACCTAAGCTGACCAACCTTGGGTGGCCGGTGGAGCCTAAATATTTGCTCATGGTTGAACAACTTCGTTCTTGAAACGAAACGAGTCAGATAGTTCTTTGGGCAGCATAACATAGAGCACTGAGCTGAGACTAAAAAAGCCTTGCAAAGCCTTGCAGAAACTAAGTGGTTGTTGGGAACAGGGCGCATCCCAACGAAACTGAAATCTGTTCGAGCAACTTCTTATACAGCACAGGACCCAACGTCAAGTACCTATAATCGACACGCTCAAAGGGGTCGTGTTTCGGTCCAGGTGAATGGTGGTTTAGTGGGATCGGCATTTGATTCAGATTTTCAATTTTTTTAGGAATCTTTGCGAAAATTCAAGAAAAAAATTCGGTGGGCTGAAGTGCCATCGGAGGAACCACCGTCGGGAATTCTTTGGTAGAGGAAGAAGTTGTGATGGGGTCTGTGGAAGGGACTCGTTCATATTGAGGGATTAAGAACTGAAAGAGGTTCAGTTCGCCTGCAGAAATTTCCTGGGAAGGTTCATTAGAGTTTTAGAAATTTTTTGTTTAATTTTAGGCGCTTCAGTTTTGAGAAATGTAAGAAGAATTTTACGAAAATCTAAGATTTTTTTGCTATTTTGGGATACAACACCCCCCCCCCCTCTACCCATGCACCCTCACTCCTCCTCTGCTCGACGGACAATCTCGGCCATGGAGTCGTATTACTATTAAGCCTTAAAGAGGAAGGAGGTCATGTTAACCAAAGTTCCTTGGAAAGGACTCTTTGGGCAGTGAGTATATGCGAACTAATAAACTGCCGTATTTCCTTGGCATGCAACTCAACTGTATACAGCATATTCAAGCTTTCGAGCAACTGCGAGTGAGAGTAACCGATCGTTGCAGTATGCGACGTCAGCGACGGAAGGCCTTAGAAGGGAGGTCGTTCAGGGTGTGACAAGCTTTTTGAAAACGGTCTTTTGCATGATATAGGGGCAGATGCGGGAACCACAGAACCATGTTCAATTTTTCCTGAACGGCCCTCTGAATACCAGAAAAGGGGTCCCTAGTTCGATTCCTCGTGGTGACAAATTGCGCAAAATGGAGTTAGCATGAATAATTAGTACCATATTCATGATTAGGACCGTCAGTAACCCTTACAAATAGACTTTGATTAAAAAACTGGTGAAAAAGGTGTGACATCACAGTGGGGCTGGCCGTTGTCACCTTTTTCACCAGTTTTTAATCAAAGTCTTTTGTAAGGGTTACTGACGGTCCTAATCATGAATATGGTACTAATTATTCATGCTAACTCCATTTTGCGAATTTTGAAACGTCAACTCGAAATGCAAAAATTTGTCACCACGAGGAATCGAACTAGGGACCCCTTTTCTGGTATTCAGAGGGCCGTTCAGGAAAAAAAAACCATGGTTCTGTGGTTCCCACATGTGCCCCAATGTCATGCAAGAAACCATTTTTTGAAAAAGCTTGGCACACCCTGAACGACCTCCCTTGTTTGGCAGTGGCTCAAAGGAATCGTGCCCGAGAGCCGATCTTCTCTTTCCCTGTATTAGTGTTGTTATGGGGTCACAAAAGAGCATGTGCGAAGTTGCGACATTTGGACGGGGGAAATTCAGGTTGCTTATAACTCTTTTTTCTTTTATCCTAGTGGGTACGGAGCTTGGATTATCCATTTTCGGTGAGGATGGAGTTCCGTGATTCCTGGAGCGACCCTTAAGCTTCCCTACTATGAACGTAAGCACTATTCTAGGCGACAGCCAGTTATAGCAGGCGGCAGTACGTGACGACAACGAGCAAGCAGTGCGGCCCCAAGCAGATGCTGGCGACATGAAGCGTTAGCAGGCGGTAGTAGCCCTCCGAATTCCAGTGGAAGATCACGAAATTTTAGCTGATCAGCACTTCATTCCCTCTTGTTCAGTCATTCAGTAATAGCAACGAAACTCACCACCAGAGAATGGCATTGCCGCCCGTTTACCATAGAGTCCACCGGAAAACGGCATCACGGCACGTTTCTCTTGCCAACCTGAAGTATGTATAGTCGATAATTGAAAATTCGGCACTATTTACCCTTTACTGCCCCACTCCTCAAGAACTGAGCCGGATTTTGATCGAAATTCGTCCATGACTGTGGATTTGGCTAGAAACTTGCCTTCAGGGGTAATTTGACCCGTAGAACACGAATATAATACCGGTTTAGAGCGAAAACGCTTGGCGCCCGCGCCACAGGCGCCGGCGCTATCACAACAGTTTTGCGCGGGCGCTCGTAGCGCAGGCTACAGGTTCACTCGTAACAAACTGATGTGATAATCATATTCTACGGGTCAAAATACCTCTGAGGACAACTTTCCAGCGAATTTGGGGATCCGAGATGTTCTGGCGCCTTTTGGCGCCGGCGCTTCTGACGCGAGCGCCAGGCGTTCTAGCGGTAAACAAATGTGATATTCGTGTTCTACGGGTCGAATTACCCCCGAAGGCAAGTTTCTAGCCAAATTCACAGTCAATGACCAATTTCGATAAAAATCCGGCTCAGTTCTCGAGGAGTGGGGCAGTAAAGGGTAAATAGTGCCCAATAAGGGTAAACCTTTCTATAAAAAAGAGAGGTGGTACCCTTAAGGGGACCGACACGCGCTTCGCAGCGAGCGATTTGCTCCAACGATCTAGCAGCGCTAGCCGCTTCACGCCCACCCTCTCGCCGTTTGACCCTAGCCAGTCAAAGAGAGACGTTTAGCGTTGGAGAGGGTAGCATGATGAGTGTGCATCAATGCGGAAATCACTGGGCAAAGGAGGGGTCCCATTTTTCGGGTTCTGGTCTGTTTCTCAAGCTTTTTCTTCCAGTTTTTCCCTCCACAAGTGATCATCTCTGCTACCTTGATGTCTAATGAGCTGGCTTTTTATCGTGACTGCCTTCAATTGGTATCGAAGCACCTTCGGGAGGAGGAATGCTGAAATGTCTAGTGCGCTGGTCCCCAGAATCGTATTCAGCTGCCATTACAATGCAGGTGAATTAGGATGTACGGCTTTCCAGAAAGCACTAGTCACCGATGATTTCTCTACTAGTTCAGTTTTGTGCCCGCAAAGTTCGGGCATAGTTGAGCTCAAGGCGCGACCCGGGATTTAAGCATGTTCACCCTGTCCATCCTATCCCAGAGCGTAAGGTAGGCAGGTGGACAAGCGCTGATGTCGCGTTCCTTCTGCAGCTTGAAAGTGCGCGATGAAGGCGTTAGAAGCTTGCTCGGTTTGCAATCCACACCTTTGTTCGCGTACCACGCCCTTTGCTGTCGGCTGCCATAGGCCGATGTCAGACTTTGCGAATCGCGCGATTCGCTAGCGTCTGCGGTCGCGTCGCGGCCAGTGAATCACTCAATTGGCTGGTACCGCAACGCGACCGCGGACGCTAGCGAATCGCGCGATTCGCAAAGTCTGACATCGGGCCATATGCAAGCTGTGAGAAAAGCGCGGGCGCCAGTTGCGGTTGCGTTGCGGCTCAATGTCAGTGGTTCTGGAGCAACTGGAGCTAGGTTCGTGGAACTCGTCCAACACGCCTCTTCTATATCCCAAGGTGGAATGTGGCTAAAATAGAGGAGGTCCTTAGTGGGGCCTAATCGGGGTTCTGCTGCTTTCTTTTCCTTTTCCAAAACACTTTCCACCTCCAGCTTTATTACTAATCTTCTCACCGACCCATTTTATTCCGGGGCTTGTCTTCAAGCAACAGTTAACCCTTCCAAATACGCAAAGCTGTTTACCTCCATAAAATGGCGATTCTTGCCGTTCAACATACACGTCGTCAGGCACTTCAACGGATCGTTTGCCGTAAATTCCTTCAAAAATCGATATATTTATTTTGTGAGGACTTGATGTGAAAGGGCGACTAACCTCCTGAGGCTGGCATGGTTGCTCGTTTGCCGTAAAGACCGCCTGAGAAAGGCATCACGGCGCGTTTTCCGTACATCCCTAAAGTGGAGAAAAATCAATAAAATCAATAACATAAGCAACCATCATAGAAGGCTGAAAAGTGCGCTCACCTCCGGAGTACGGCATAACTGCTCGCTTAGCACCATTACCTACAACCTCTGGCGCATAGTCTGGGATTTCAATTAGGATCGCTCCGCTTGATGGCGCTAAATCTGAACGAAATATTGATTTGTACTTTTGTGGTCCAATCAGGATTTACTTAATCCCTTGCCCTTCATAAGGGGCTATGAAAAATTCCCTGAAGAAAAATCAATAATCGATCGATCACCTTCATCTTCATTAGCATAAGCGACCGCAACGAGAAACAATAGTGATGGGACGAGCATCGTCTCAAGCGGGTTACCTTCAAAGAGAAATTTTGTGAGACTGGCGCGTCATTGTAAATCATGTCATAGAGCGAGCAATCAATTGAAGCGAATCAATCAATATCAATCGATAAACGCGATGGGAAGAGCTTGTAAAATTGTGGCGATCTCAGCGTAGAATTCAAAAAGAATCATGAAATAGCAGAATATGTAAAAAGCCTAGCAAATGTGAGTTGAAAAGATTAAAAAGAGGAAAGGTAATAAAGGATTTTCTATTTCAAGAACAAAAAGTAAACAAAACAAGTAAACACCGGGAACCATTTCCTCCAGAAAGAGGCAAAGGGAAACCTGGATTGTCCCTAGTAGCTCCAATCAGAAGATTCTACAAATTTATAGAATCTAAGCATCATAAATAGATTAGTAACAGAAACAAGCGACAGGTGCGATTAGGGATTGATAGGTTCGCCCAGATGCGCACACATTAAAACACTGGCGGAATTCGAAATGTGTATTGAATACATGTTTACTTTACGGGTGCGTTGCGGGGATTGGCCGGCATCCAGCACGGGTTTTTTGGCTCCACAAATTGTTTCGGGACAATTACCAGCTTTCAGGAAGTGCGAAAGTACTGACGGCCTAGGGGATTACTTGGTCTCACAAACATGAAACGGAGCTTTCCGCCACTGGTGTGCTCTTGCAGAGTTTCGATGGGTCTTGGATATTGAAAGATGGCCGTATGTTCGCTTTTTGTCAATTTTAGAAGAGCCAGCTGGGTTTGGGGAGAGGTCATTCCCTACGAGGAAAAAAATTGATTTGTTTTGCTTTTTAAACTGGGTTTTTTTAAAATTTTGTTACGAGTAACAACGGGGGGGTCGTACCTGGTTGAGTTTGTAGGAGGGGGGTCGTACCCACTTTAGTTGCTCGAAATCACGTGTGGGATTGAGGAGAAACTAAGATTTCGTGGGTAGTAGGTTGTGCGAGTAGAGGGCGCGCAAGATAAAAATTTGCCGTTTCAGCCGGCGTATACCCCCCCTAGAAAAGGAAACAGTGAGATTATAGGGAGAAATTGGGGTAAATTGGTTGGAAAATTTAGGGGAATTGTGGGAAAATTTTTACTGTTTCAGAGGGACTATATACCCCCCCGCTCGACGGCATTTTTGGAGGAAAAAGTGGGCGGAGTTTTGAGGGTTGAGTGGTAGTGGAAGTTAATGTTATAGAGAGGAATATGGTGGTTGAGGGTCGAGAAGGGGGGTCGTACCAAATCCACCTTGGGGAGGGGGGTCGTAAAAAATTTTCGAAAAGTAACAACGATAGGGTTGACCCTGGTTCGGAGGCCTTCACGATCTCGAGGAGACATCAGATCTTGTCACGACCCTTTCAATTTCCTTTCAACAAACCCTGTTTATTAATATGTTTATTAGCCAAGCGTTCGCAAAGGGATTAAATAGAGTTACAGTAGAGACCGATCTTCATTTGCCTATCAGCGGGATCAGCCCTCGTGGACGGCGCTTCAGCTGTCGGTAAGAGACTCCTTAACTGCCGCGGTTCGAGCGAGGAAAGGCCCACTCCCACTGACAGGCGATGACCAAAACAAGAAGGACGTTGCGGGTGGCAAGTGCATACCGCAACAGATCTTTTCGAATTGAGCTGTTATCATAAGTAGAAGTTTGGTAAACAAACAACAAGAAGTAAACAATAAACAATTTAATACAAAGGACTCCGGTAGGCAACGACCAGAGGCTATGCATCGCATTTACATGGCTCATAGGAACAGTTCCCATTATTGACAACCCAAGTCATGACCACTGTGATAAGTAAGCATAGCTAAAAGTGCAAGCCCTTTATTCCTATTAGTGAGGTTTTTCGTGACTTAATTTTTTTTTGCTCAAAATGGGCAGAGTCAAAAAAAAACTTGCTCTGGGAGACCTTTAAAAAAATTCTGGCGTGAACAAAGCGTTTAACGCAGAATTCTCGTGCAGGCAAACAGAAAACAACCACATATACGAAATTCATTGAATAGGAAATGTGAAAATCACTAAGAAAAACATGCGAGAAGACAAAAAAAAGTGAAGTGAAAACAAATCTGTCATTCGTTGTGGCCACAATGACCGTTGAAGATGCGCCACATACTCAGCTTTTGCTTGGAAACTCAGATGCTTTGCAAACAGTTCCCCTGTATGCAAAAGGCTGATAACAGCTAACAGCGCTCAGTAAAGTTGCAGTGGCTCCAGAAATAGTAAGACTCGCACTTGGGTGAAGGCACCTGTACGGGGCGATCCCACATGCAGGTAAGGCTGCAGCCAGCAGCTACAGCAGAAAAAGGTGCTAAATTATAAATTAGAAAAGTTAGCTTATGCCCACGAAAAGTTTTTGACGCCCTGACATACATGACATGAATAAGTGAAAGTGGAAGACATGGTCGCGAATGCGCACCCATGGACCACGGGAAAGCGTTGTGGTACCCTCTGCTCCGGAAACTTTCCGAAGAAGGCTTCACGCCTTGTCAACTGCGCTTCCTTTCTAACGCTTTGCTTCCTGGGTCGCGTATAGCAGTACCCGGACGGGGATTTGTTCTCAGAACTGTGGTCGATGATGCAGTCCTCATGGTCAAGAATAGGAAGATGTCCGGCTGCTGTTATTTTGGGGTCATCTGCCGGCCGAACACTTGCGGAATCTTTTGTTGGTACGGTGGACTACCGACAAGGGTTCACAACGGGAATTTTGGTTTTTGGTGGTATCCTTCATGGGTTGAGGGAACCTCGGTGGAACTCATGTTGGGTATGTCCTCGGAATCGATGACCTTGTTGAACCTATAAGGGACGTTTTGGAAATGCTTTTGTATGGGTGCCTCCCAAAGTCAAACGAGGGTTTCGTTGTAGATATAATACAGAATAGCTAAAGCTTGAATGAAACGCGGAGAAATTGGATCAGAATATGACTATGTGGGGAACAAAACGCTGCCCTTGACACGTCGTTCAAGACTAATAAAGGTTGAGTTAATCGCTGTTAAGGTCCCCGGGGGACGGCTGTGGGACTTAGAGAGCTTAAGGTGCAGAAACCTTTTGTTTCCACTGCTGAAAACAAAATCTCTTTCCGCATTTCCCTAAGCTGAGTGAGCTGGAGCTGAGCACTGGATTCACGTCACGGAGTGGGTGAGCTGTTTGGCTGCCCGCACCCTAGTCAAACGGGAATTAAAGAGAAATTAGGGAGGTAGAGAGGGAGATCCCGTAAATGGTTGCGCGAATCGGTCTGTAGGTGATGGTTGACTTGCGGTGCCAAGTGCTTGAGATCTCACTTGCGATTTGTTATAGAAGGATGACGCTGACGGGGAAGGGAAGGGGAGCAGGAAGCCGTATTTGAATTGAGAAATTTTTCGTAGATTCATAGCGCATGTGCTCCTATACCTACGCGGTTGTGCGAGGAGTTGGATTATTTTACACTGGTGTGCAAAACTTTAGGGACGAGACAGATGAAGTATCATAACCTTTTGATTAGCTTTGTGGACCGTTTAACGGTTCCTGTTTACTGCTTTCTTTAGTGCCCTGTGACAGCTCTTTGTATGTGGGGTTAGGTTCCAGAGAGTCATCTTACGCGCCAGTAATACGTCGTTGGAAAAGCCACGTTCGTCCCTAAGTTTTGCACACCATGTATTTCTGCAAGGACATAATCAGGAAGTAGGTCTATGTAAAGAACTTCACAAGTCACGTCATCGTCTCGCATGAGTTGTCATAATTTATACGTCCAAGACGGGCAAATCATGCTGAAATTTAGTAAAATACAAGAAGTAAACAGAAGCGTGGCATTTTCTGAAGGTTAGCGCTGTTCCCGACGCTGCAAACGTTCGTAATGGTAGACTTATGTACATGGACACGTTTCAATGGCTTCGAAAAAATCAATATCGCGTGTGGTTTTCGATGCTTTTGATGTTTCTGGTGTCGTAAGTGCTATAAATTCTGCAAATTCATCATGTATCGCACAGAGAAACACACATAAACATACCCTTTGGCAAAATATGGGGGCGCTTGAGTGGAAAAAAAGCAAGTAAGACATCCATTTTGTGGAAAACCGGACTAAACCTGAGGCGGGACAGGAGAGAATCCAGGATGTATGAGCGTTTTTCATTTTCCCTAATGTTCCTGCCTCTCCTAGGCTTAGCGTTAGAAGATGCCCCCGTATAATGCGATAGTGCCCATAACCATGCTGGCGTTAACAGTAGGAAGAGCGTAGGCGATCAAAATCTTTTGAGTAGCACTTTTCATAATAGAGGAAATTGATGTTATGAAGTCGGCATCCTTTTCCTGTCTACCTGCTGCTGCACAAAACAATAGCGTTACTAATTCTCAGTATTGTTTGAGGCCAATCGGTTGAATGAAAATAATATAAAAAAGGAACGTAAAAGGGTTGCGTTATCCTTCGAGGATCTACCTTTTTATTCAGAGATTCAAAAACAAACAGCCCACTGGTCAGTTATTCAGTTATGTGACCAAAGAGCAGGGTCAACCCTACGTTGTTACTAGTAACAACGGGGGGTCGTACCTGGTTGAGTTTGTAGGAGGGGGGGTCGTATAGGTTGGGAGTTGGGAGCGCGCGGGAGAAAAATTCGCCGTTTCAGTGCGTAAAAGCGGGTAAAAGTAAGTAAAAGTAAGAGTAAAATGGTGGAAATTTAGGGAGTTTAGGTGAATTTTTACTGTTTCAGAGTAGCTATATACCCCCCCCCCCCGCTCGACGGCATTTTTGGAGGAAAAAGTGGGCGGAGTTTGGTGGGTTGAGTGGTATCAGAATTAAATACTATAGAGACGATGATGGTGGTCGAGGTGTCGAAAGGGGGTCGTATCAAATCCACCTTGGGGGAGGGGGGTCGTAAAATTTTTCAGAAAGTAACAACGATAGGAACGACCCTGCAAGATGCTCGACAAAAATTCATTTTTAGAGTGCTCCCAGCATTTGTTCCTTTTAGAATGTCCACATTGACATTCATAATTCCTCGTCAAGGGCATGTCGCGAAGCAGCCGACCAGGGTC